TGTGTGTGTGTGTGTGTGTGTGTGTGTGTGTGTGTGTGTGTGTTGTGGGAGATTCAGGCATATGTGTGCCACCGTGGCACTCATGTTGAGATCAGAGGTCAGCCTTTGTGGTTGGTTCTTGCCTCTCCTTGTTTGAAAAGGTCTTTTCCCACTGGGTAATCCAGGCTTGCAGACTTGTACTTCTGAAGACTCCCCTGTCTCCATCTCCCATCTCCCAGTAGGGGCACACTGTTATCATAGACACTTGTGAGACCCCAACTAAGGTCCTCATGTTTGCACAGCAAATACTCTTACCCACCAAAAGAAGCTTGTTTCTCACACACCCTTCTACCAGGATGCTCTGTCTGCACAGGTTCAGTACGACAGAGCCAACTTCCTGAAGCTGAATTGAGAACTTGAGGGGTCCTCTGTGACCTTCACAGGCCTGCAGAGCAATGGTCCACAGGAAGGAGGAAGTCAGTTCAGTTCAGCACAGCTCAGTAACTGGTGTTGGCTCAAACTGTTGAGAGTCTGACTCAAAGAGTTATTTTAACCTTTTTAAAATTTTTTTTGAGTTTTTGAGAGCTTGTTTGGAGGTTCGTGCTCTGGGATAGGTAGGATCAACATAGTAAAAATGTCAATCCTGCCAAAAGCAATCTACAGATTCAATGCAATCCCCATCAAAATCTCAGCACAATTCTTCACAGACCTTGAAAGAACAATAACCAACTTTATATGGAAAAACAAAAGACACAGTATGACAGTATGGCCAAAACAACCCTATTCATTAAAGCAGGCATCACCATCCCTGATCTCAAGGTCTGTTATAGAGCTATAGTCCTGAAAACAGCTTGGTATTGACACAAAAATAGACAGGTAGACCGACGGAACAGAATTGAATACCCCGATGTTAACCCATACATGTATGAACACCTGATCTTTGACAAAGAAGCTAAAAATATGCAATGGAAAAAAGAAAGCATCTTAAACAAATGGTGCTGGCATAACTGGACGCTGGCATGTAGAAGAATGCGGATAGATCCATGTCTATTGCTATGCACAAAACTTGAGTCCAAATGGATCAAAGACCTCAACATAAATCCAGCCACACTTAACCTGTTGGAAGAAAAAGTGGGAGATACCCTTGAACGAATTGGTACAGGACCGCTTCCTGAACATAACACCAGTAGCACAGACACTGAGGTCAACAATTAATACATGGGACCTCCTGAAACTGAGAAGCTTCTGTAAGGCAAAGGACACAGTCAACAAGACAAAAAGGCAGCCCACAGAATGGGAAAAGATATTCACTAACCCCATATCTGACAGAGGGCTTATCTCTAAAATTCACAAAGAACTCAAGAAGCAAGTCTCCAAAACACCAAAGAATCCAATCAAAAAGTGGGGTACAGAACTAAGTAGAGAATTCTCAATAGAGAAATAGAGAAAATGGCTGAGAGACACTTGAGAAAGTGCTCAATATCCCTAGCTATCAGGGAAATGCAAATCAAAACAACTCTGAGAAACCATCTTACTCCTGTCAGAACGGCTAAAATAAAAAACACCAATGACAATTTATGCTGGAGAGGATGTGGAGAGAGGGAACACTCCTCCATTGCTGGTGAGAGTGCCAGCTAATACAGCCACTTTGGAAATCAGTATGGAGATTCCTCAGGAAAATGGGAATCAGCCTACCACAAGACCCAGCAATTCCACTCTTAGGCATATATCCAAAAGATACACATTCATACAACAAGGATGTCTGTTCCACCATGTTCATAGCAGCATTATTTGTAATAGTCAGAACCTGGAAGCAACCTAGGTGCCCCTCAACTGAAGAGTGGATAGAGAAAATGTGGTACATTTACACAATGGAGTACTATTCAGCGGAAAAGAAAACAATGGAATCTTGAAATTTGCAGGCAAATGGACAGCACTGGAAAAGAAACCATCCTGAGTGAGGTAACCCAGTCACAAAAAGACAAACATGGAATGTACTGACTCATATATGGATTTTAGACATGGATCAGCCTACAATCCCACTGCCACAGAACCTTCAACCAATGACTGATGGAAGCAGAGGCAGATACCCCTGGCTAAACACTGAGCTGAATTCAAGGAACCCAGATACAGAGAGGGAGGACTGATGATCATAGGGGTCAAGACTGGGCTTGCTTAACCCACAGAAACAGCTGACCTGAACAAGGGGGAGCTCTTGAACCCCAGACTGATGGCTGGGAATTCAGCTTGGGACTGATCCAGACCCCCTGAATGTGGGTGTCAGTGAGGAGGTCTAGGCAATCTATGGAGCCTTGGGTAGTAGATCAATATTTATCCCTGGCATACAAATGGACTTTGGGTGTCCATCGCACAATGAGTGATGCTCTCTCAGCCTGGACTCTTGGGGTAGGGCCTAGGCCCTGCCCTGGGTGAAATGACAGACTATGGAGGGCCTCACCCTCCTTGGGGAAAGGAGTGGGGATTGGGGGGATGGGAGGTTTGGTGGGAGGGCATGGGAGGAGGGGAGGGAGAGGGAGAGGGAGCTAGAATTGATATGTGAAGCAATCTTGTTTCTAATTTAAATTTTAAAAAAATTAAAGCTTTTTTTTGTTTTAATTTTTTGAGGCAGGATTCTCTATGCCACCCTGGCTGTCCTAGAACTCACTCTATAGACTTGGCTTGGCCTCGAACTCATAGAGATCCACCTGCTTCTGTTTCCTGAGTGCTGGGATTAAAGGTGTGCACCACCACTGTCTGGTTTATTTTAGGAATATTTAAGCACATAAAAATTTGGTTAAAACCTTTCTGGTGATAATAAATTCAATCCCATGTGTATGAAAAGGCATACATAAATCTTCCTGAGGAAAAAAGTAAGCTAAATACAGATCACCCATGGCTACTAAGAGGACTAAAGTTATGTTTTAGGCTTAAATTATTGTGCTTAAGACACCTATAAAACATAATGCCTCTACTCTGTAAGTCCCACTTGCCTAAGGAAAGATAACTTCCTGGAGTACTGGGGAGCTGTTCATGTAAGATAGCAAGCCATGTGCCATTTCTATGAACAAGGGTGGTTGTCTCAACTGCTTGATCACGTGTAGATGGGAGGTAAGTAGGCAGGAAATACATCAAGATGTATGCTTGTCCTGATTGGACCAAGGCAGGAAGTACATAGCCTTGTGTGTTTTGCTTTTACAAGCGCCTGAATAATGTAATTCATGGTCCTTCTCTGGCCATCTACGTATGGACCTGGTCAGCAGCCGTCTTCCTGGCCAGTATTTAATAAAGCTTGCTTCAAATTTGGCTCAAAAATTGTGGTAGTGTCAGCCAGGTGGTGGGGGCACACGCCTTTAATTCCAGCACTTGGGAGGCAAAGGCAGGTGGATCTCTGTGAGTTCAAGACTGGCTTGGTCTACAGAACGAGTTCCAGGACAGGCTCCAAATCTACACAGAGAAACCCTGTCTTGAACCGCCCCCCCTCAAATTGTGGTAGTGCCTTAGTCACTTAGTGGGATTAACACTACATTGAAACTCTTTGTAAACTGGACATGGTGGTGTACATATTTAATCCCAACACTTGGGAGGCAGAGGCAGGGAGATCTCTGTGAGTTTGAGGCCTGATCTACATAGCAAGTTCCAAGACAGCTAGAACTACACAGTGAGACCCTGTTTCCAAAAAGCAAACAAAAATCTACCTCTTTGTAAACTCCACAAATCCAGGCTCTACATATTGACTGAGAAAAATAAACTCATGTTCAGCGTCTGGTATGTATGTGTGTGTGCTCAGTGCTATAAAAGTCTCTGACCACATAGCTAGAGCAGAAGTTACCAGGCTAGAGAGTGACCCACGCCCAGCCTTCTGGGTGGATAACAGGGTCTGCATCCATTCCTTGTAAGGAACCAATCTGTGAGCTTAATATCCAGCTTCCTCTAATGCTTGTCTCTGAGCACAAAGGCCTAGAAGAACTCTTGCCCTACTTGAGTTGAGTTGCTCTGGCATTTTGTCATTGTGATGAAATGCGGCTCCCCTGGAGGTGATGAGAGCAGTTGCCCTGATCAAGGAATTCATTAGATTGTTACATGTTAACGTGCCTCATTCACTTGATAGACAGAATTCTTCCACAAGGAGACAACCTTATTATTCGACTAGCCTCAACATAATGAGGTCTTTTTTGGAATATCATTAGGGATTCATTGTTTCATATCTTATTTGATATATTTGATCACTTTACATCATTGCCTCTAGTGAGGCTCCCACCTTCGGGCTCTGAGGGAGAAACATTTGTGTCACAGATGAGAGCCTAAGGCTCAGAGGTGATGTGCTTCAAATCCAAGTGTATCTAGCAGGGACCACAAGGTCACAGAAGCCCTGTGCTACATGAACAATGAGAGTTTTATGCAAAGAAAATCAGCTTGGTCTAAAGTTTGGAAAGCCAAGAGAATAGGAGAGCTGTCCTGGAGCCACTGACATTCAGAGACGCATAGTGGCCTCATGGAGCAGAATTCCGAGGTCTGAGAAGCCGGTGACCATGCAGGGGAAGGTATGAGCTTGAGATACTAGGCTGTTGTGACTGTATCTGAGATGAGACAGTGTCAAGTTTGCCCTGGACGCTCAAGAAAACTGCAAATGGGAGGCCAGGAGACTCCATGGCCATCAGGAGTCAGAGGCCAGTGCTCCACGAGGGCTGACAGAGCAGAGACGCCTCAGAAACAGATTCAGGACCCGGGTACTAGTCAAATCCCACTGAGGATTCATTGGAATCCTGGCTTGAGGCCTTGTAAGGCACCAAGGGCATGACAGAATTCTCAGCAAGACTGAAGACTGGCCTGAGTGTCACTTTTGTCTCTAGAATCAAATTTCCCTAGTAGGAGATTTGGAGTATCTATACCAACACATGAAATTACTTCCTGATATATTTCTGAGTTGATACTTCCTGGACTGGAGGGCAAACCCTGGCTACATTTGTTTCCATAGTGACCAATCAGGCCTCCCGTGGGCTCCTACTTCTTAAATAGGTTGCCCAAGAGAGGGCTATGAGCCACAGCAGTCAGAGGGAAGTCCGATGTTAGGTGTTCCTGGCTCGTCTCTATGAGTCTGGTGAGGAGCGAAGAGGGCCAGGATCTGAGGTGGTCATAGGCAGAGCCCTGGGTCTCTTAGACAAAGTGGGTAAATCAATGGGGTGCCCCCCACCTTCCTGAAGGATAGGTGCCCTCCCTATGCTAACCTCACAGGTGGACTGGCGCACAACTCCCATTGCCTATGGCTCCTGCTGGGCCATGAGTTCCTTGGCCTTCACCAAACCACATCACTGGAACTGCAGGAGAGAAGCCTGAATGGGCATGTCCTGTCAGGTAATTGGGTTCCAGTTTGATTGCCTCTGAAGTCTGAAATGCAACTCTCCCTTAGAGTGAGCCAAGGACTCTGACCCCACTGTGCTGTGGACCAAAGAGGAGCCATGAAGTTCTGGGAAAGGTCCATCTTTCTCCTTCTGCTGCAGTCACTACCAGGTAAGGAGTATTACTCTTCAGTCACCCCTACTTCTTTCCCCCATGATGGCTTCAACACCCTCTATCATCCTGCTTCCTTATGAATCTCAGCTGCTCTCCCTAGACAACCAGGAGAGGGCTGAGAGAAGGAGGCCAGAGCCCCATGTGTCCATTGACCCTATGGAGCAATGTCCCTGAGCCATGTCTCATGGGGATGACAACTTTGAGGATGGAATGTTGACCCCAGACCCCTTCTCTTGTTTTCTTTTTAAAGTTTTTATTAGAATTTCATGTGTAGAAGATTTATTTTGATCATACCCATCTCCTACCTGCCTCTCTTCAATTCCCCTGGACCCTCCCCAACATGTAACGCTTCCAACTTCATGATTATCATCTCTTCCTTCTCCCCCTCTTCTTCTTCTTTTGTTGTCGTAACTCACTGAGTCCAGAGACTGCTGTCCGTGTGCACATGGGTGTGAGGCCACCCACTGGAGCACAGGCAACCTACGAGTGGCCACACCCCCAAAGAAGAATTACCCTCCCTCACCTATCAGCCAATAGCTCCTTAGCTAGGGGCAGGCCTTGGGAGCCACACCCCATGCACACTGGAGTGTTACTACCTGCTCTTGGGTGGGTCTTATGTAGGCTACTACAGCTGCTGAGAGTTGCTATATGAGAGCAGCAGCCATGTCGTGTCTAGAAGACAGAGTTCTCCAGCATCTTCCCCATCATGCAGCTTGCATTCTTCCTGCCTCTTCTGTGACATCCTGGAGCTTGGGAAGGTGTTGATGTAGACACAGATGTCTCACTAGGCTTGAGCACTCCGTCGCTTATCCTCAGTATTTTGGTCAGTTACCAGTGTCTACGTTAACCAGAGCTCATTGAGAAACTTTCTCTTGCTTTCTAGGGGGACATGGGGATGTGTTGCCTGCAGGTAATGACCGGCCCTGAGTGTCCCAGGGAAGGGTCAGGGCAGAGGATGGAAGGAGATGCTGGAGACGGTGGGTCCCAGGTGGGACTGGCTTTCTGAAAAGGTCCTTCTGCAGTGTGCGGCCATTCCGGAAATGCTGGGAGGATCGTGGGTGGCCAAGATGCTCAGAAAGGGAAGTGGCCGTGGCAGGTCAGCCTGTGGATGGCTGGAGAGGGCCACATCTGTGGGGGCTCCCTCATCCACCCAGGGTGGGTGCTCACAGCTGCCCACTGCTTCCGCAGGTAAGGGAAGTAGGGGTGTGGAGTGACCGCCCTTCTCCCTACCCTGTCCCTGTTCGGCAGATGACTCAGCAGGCTGGGCCTATCTCTTCCTAGGTCTCAGAATCCTAACTTCTACCAAGTGAAGGTTGGAGGGCTGACAGTCTCCCTTTGGGAAGGAGATGTAACCTTAGAGTATGTGAGGAACATCTTTGTGTACCCCAGCTTCCTCTGGACAGACCCAATGTCTAGTGGAGACATTGCCTTGGTGCAGCTGGACACCCTTCTGAAACCCTCTCAGTTCACTCCCATCTGCCTCCCAGAAGCTCAGGCTCCTCTCAACCCTGGGACTGGCTGCTGGGTAACGGGCTGGGGGTCCACCCAGGAAAGAGGTGAGGGAATATGTTCAAACTCGGTCCCTACCCCTACCCATGGGAAGACTTGGCTAGGGGATGGAGTGCCAAATTGTGGGGTTTGCATTGACCAAGGTGCCCACTCATGTCAGATTTGGGGAACCCCATCCAGTGCCCAGGATTCTGCCTACTGCAGAAATGAGTAAGCTGAGGCCCAGCCACCATGAGGTTATGGAAGCTGGCACAGCTCACAAGGGCAGACTGGACTTGAACTCTGCTCCTGACTCTGGGACTTGGGAGGGACAGCGAACAGAGAAATGGTAGGAGGTCAGTCTGTACTGAGTCCAGGCTTCTCTCTGGTCCAGACCTATCGAGTGTCCTCCAGGAGTTAGCTGTGCCCCTCTTGGGCTCGGAAGAGTGTGAGAAGATGTACCACATCCGGAATATCAGTCTGCCAGGGAAGCGATTCATCCAGTCAGACATGCTCTGTGCCGGCTTTGCAGAGGGCCAGAAAGACTCCTGCCAGGTGACAGCAGCCCTCTGGTCCTCCCTGGCATCCCATGACCCACAACCAGGGACTTTTAGGAGGACCAGTGCAGTCACCCAGTCTCTGTGGCCTTGGCAGAGGGTGTTTGTAAAATGTTTTTCTTGATCAGGCTCTCCTTCTCCCTCAGGGTGACTCTGGGGGACCACTGGTCTGTGTCATCAACAGTTCCTGGGTCCAGGTCGGGGTCACCAGCTGGGGATTTGGCTGTGCTCGGTTATACAGGCCTGGTGTCTACGCCCGGGTGCCAGCTTATGTAGACTGGATTCAGAGAACCTTGGCAGAGAACCCCACTGACACCTGCAGGTGCCACTCCAGAGCCTCCGGGGCACACCCACTACTACTTGTAGTGTTGCTGGCCTTAGCCTTGTCAGGGGCCCTGTGAACGACGAGCTCCATGGTCCTGGATCCTCTCCTGGTGGGACGGGAGACTTGGAAACTTAGAGAAGACACTGAGAAATGGCGGGCTTGCAGGTGACACCTGGGCGGTGTTGGAGGCTGAAGCGACTTGAAGAGTTTTAAGGACACGGTAATCTGGAACACAGGGACACGTCCTATCAAACACAGGCAACCACTCGCATGTACTTACCACAGGTCTGGTCCTCACCCAGCTCTACCTGTGTTAGTAACCCTGTCAGTCACACAACAGTGCTACAGCGGGGAAGTAGGGAAGCTCAGAGAAGGCTGTGAACTTCTATGGTCACACAACTAGCGGGCTGGGATAGAATCTCCGTGTGGATCTATCCCAAACAAGTGTGGATCAGAACCTGTGCTCCTGCCCCTAGGAAGTCTCACTGTGTACCCCATGCTGGCCTCAGCCACTTAGACGGATGCATCAGAGGCGTGCACCACCACAACTTGGCTCTTATTCTTGGTTCATAGAGCATCTTTGTTCTGACAAAATAAACAAATAGAAATCCTTTAACATGGAGCTGGAAAGGTGGCCCAGCAGTTAAGAAACTTCCAGAGGACCAGGGTTCGATTCCCAGCACCTACATCATACAGCCTACAACAGCAGGAGCTCCTGCTTCTGCCCTCTGAGGACACATGTTGTTATACACAAACACAAAAATAAACCATTGTTAACAATACTTGTTTATTTTATGAGGATGGGTGTTTTCTCTGCATGTTCTGTGTCCATTCAGATCCCCCTTCTCTCTTTTTTGTTTTGGCTTTGGAGACAGGGTTTCTCTGTGTAGCCCTGGCTGTCCTGGAATTCATTCTGTAGACCAGGCTAGCCTTGAACTCAGAGATCCTCCTGTCTCTGCTTCCTCTGCTGGCATTAAAGAATGCACCACCACCATCAGGTTCTGCTCAGATCTCTTGAAACTGGAGTCACAGATTAGAGCTACAGACAGATGTGAGCTGCCATGTGGGTGCTGGGACCTGGGTCTCTTGGAGGAACAGCTGGTGCTCTTAACCACTGAGCCCCTAAAAGACTACAACTAAAAGCATGGTTGCTAATAAAAATAGTCCTTCACACCTTCACAGGCTGGAGAGATGGCTCAGAGCTTTAGAGGACTGGCTGCTCTTCCAGAGGGCCAAGGTTCAATTCCCAGCAACCACATTGTAGCTCATTAGGGTCTTTAATTACGGTTTCAGAGGATTTGACACCCCCTTCTGGCCTCCATGGGCACTGCATGTATGTAGTGCATCTACATACATGAAGGCTTAGCACCAATATTCATAAAATAAAGTCTTTAAAAATTTTTTAAAAAGTCCTTTGCCCCAGAAGGCTTTTGAAGTCCAGGTCTGGGGAATTTTCCTGCATCTCTCCTGTGTCTTCACAGTTAGAATTCCTGCTGCCCTGTTAACTCTCCTGTGTGGTGACTAGCAAAACTCCCACTCTTTCTTGAAAATGTCTCATAAGTGTATATATGTATGTATGTATGTGTGTATGTATATACATAAACACCACACACACACACACACACATACACACACACACACACACACACATTCATCACAACTCATTGAAGTCAAGAGCCAGGAATCCCTTGGTGCTTTTGGTGTCAGCCCCAGCATGTAATTGCCATGGCCACTGACTGGCCAATAAGAGCCTTCATTCTGCCAACTCTGGCCTGCGGAACATCTATCACAAGCCCTGAACCTACTGGCGACTATAGGTTCTGTCCACAACAGCTACGGGTGCCATCACCAACTTGGTAGTGCGTGCCCTCTACCTGGGTTTTGGAAGATGTACAAAAGGGTACCTGATAGAGCACGTGATCATTTTCAGGGAAAGAGACAGGCAAAATTGCACTCTTTCCTTGGGAATTAGAGACACTTCTACTGTTTATGTGAGATGAGGTAGTTGGACTGCAAGGGCAGTGGAGGGAACGATCCATGCTCCCCAGGGCCAACCCTCTCTTTCCCGAAACATTTCTTACCCTAGGTAGCTGACTGGAATGCTCCACAGCAAGGCCAGCCTAGGGCCAAAGCCAGAGGTGGGAGGCAGGGGAATGGCTTAGTTGGTTGTGTTTGCCGCACAAGCGTGATGACCTGAGCTTGAACCCCAGCACCCATGTGAAGATGCTGCATGTAGCAGTGAACACCCGTAATCTGAGTGCTGGGGAGGAGGAGATGAGAACCTCTGGGGCTCCCTGGCCAGTCAGCTTAGTCTAAGAGATGAGCTCCAGGCCTGTCCCAAAAACCATGGTGTCTAGCCCTGGAGTAAAACACTCAAGGTTAACTCCCCCCCCTGCCATGTACACATATGCACATCACACACACACACACACACACACACACACACACACACACACAGAGAGAGAGAGAGAGAGAGAGAGAGAGAGAGAGAGAGAGAGAGAGAGAGAGAGAGAGAGAGAGAGCTATTGCTGACTGTCCAGGGTAGAGAGAAAGATCGGGTGAGCAAGGGACCTGCCAGCCCTGGACCCTCTGTCCTTTCAGAGGACAGGCACCTTTGACAGCCTCTTAGTTATGCCAGGGAAGAAGCGTCCGCCATTCTGCCTCTCCTTGTCAGGGACCTCCAGCCATCAGTCAGCTAGGCTGTATCATATTACATACTCATAGAGAAGACGTGACACTAAGACCACCCTGCCACCCCTTCTGACATAAAGCAAATTCCAAGTAACAAGCCTGGGGTTTACCAGTCAGTTAAAGACTAGCTTAATTGGAAAAACTACAAGGTCCTCAGGAGACAGGCCTGAGCAGTAGTAAATTGTAATAGATAGGATCGGATCCTGCTGTCAGGTTAGCAAGCAACATAGGAATTCCTACCCCTGACCTCTTGCCCTGTAGATTAGGTAGCCAGGCAACGCAGCAGACCACCTCTCCCACTGACCTCTTGCCCCTGCAGCAGCAAGCACACCTTCCCCCCTTCCCCTCCTCACTTCTCCTATATAAATCCCTTTGTGATGAAATAAAGTTGTCGCCTTGATCAGAATCCTGTCTTGGCGCCCATTCCTGTATCCCCTGTCCTCCATCTTTCTCCTAGGTGTCCAGCAGACCCACGTTGAATGTCCTGCGGGTCGGGACACTCCTAAGTCTGGGTGCCACGGATTCCCTTGCTGTGTTCTCGTGGACCCCCCCACCAGAACTCTTCCCTGAGTTCTCCCTTCCTGCACTCTGCTCTATCCCATTTGTCCTTCCAGAACTCAGAGTCTGCTTTGTCCCCTCCTTTTCTCCTGATGTCAATAAATTCCCTGTCTCCTTATGCCTCTCGATAACTACCTTCCAGAACTCAGCAAGATGACCGTGGAATAGAACAAAAGAAAAGACCTCAATTTTTCCTTCCAGATTTTTAAAAAATTTATTTTCAAAGCAGGATCTTGTATAGCTTGTACTGGACCCAGCTTACGATGTAGCTGATGACAACTTTGAACTCTAGGTCACCCAACTTTTATCTCTAGGATTACAGGGGTGTGACACTAAGCTCAGTTTCAATTTTGCATTCCTGCTTAACCCATGACAATGGGCAAACCTACCCTTCATAAGTCAACCCTTAGGAGGTCTCCAAACAAGAGCCTTCCTTAGACAGCAGCCCTTATCTCTTCTGATGACCACAGCCAGGTTCTAAGGTCCTCTGTCACCCAGGCTAGGTGTGTCTCCACGCACCCATGCACGCCTGTGTGCTCTCCATGAGCATGAGTTCTGTAGGCCAGCCTTCATTTCCCAGCGGCGTATTCCGTGCACCCCCCAAGCACTGCTGCCCATCCCCTCCCACTCCCAGCAACAGGTTACAGGAAAGAGCTGGAAGCAAACCAGGAAAACCCAGTTAGTGCTGCCTGGTATTGACTGCGTGCAAACGTGGGTCCCCTTTGTTTTCTGCTAGTCTGGCTTCCTTCCCAGTATGAAACTGTCAGGGGATCTTGAAAATGGGCATTTCTGCTTATGGTAACAGGTCAGGAGGTGCTGGGTTGGAATGGGGGTCAAGGATATAATACCTGGGCATAGTTGGGAGGGGGGAGTTGTGCTGTGTGTGGCACCACACCCAGCTGTTGTGGCACCCAGGTGACTGTACCCATCCTTGTCTACACAAGGACTCCTTTCAGGCACCCCTGCTAACTGCACTGTCCATATAATCTAGGTGACCTTCCTCAGACGCAGATCTAGTGACAGGTTCCTCCTTGGACAGGTTGTAACAGAACTGCCTAGTTCCGTGTGGTGCAAGAGGAGGCCATTCATGGCCAAACAGACAACACACAGACACACCCTCCAGGGTCCAACCAGAACAAGGATAAGGAAATAGTTACAATTTACTCAAATGTTCCGGAAGACCCACAAGCTGATTTCTGTCCAAAGGTCAAATTGGGGAATCGTTGGCTGAGATGAGGAACTGAACCAGGAGCCAAGTGCGGAACAATGGGGGCTCCCCAGCAGTGCCCCAGGGCTGAGGCTAGCACACCTTCAACCCTAACTGGGAGCAAGTTGGTGAGAAGTAATTATCAGGGACAGGTGGGCTGTGCCAGGGCACCATGTGTGGCTGGCTCCAGGTTTTCAAGCAAGCCATTTCGGGATGGAGATGCTGAGGCCATGACAAAGGGGGTACAGGCCATTCCCCTCATGATTTTGGGCTGGACTGGTACCTCTGCAGGAATCAGTATCATGCCTTTCCAGAGGAATTGCTTCCTCTCTCTTGGCCTTGGCATCCTTATCTGTAAAAATCAGAATTAACCTCTCCAATGGGGTGTCTATGACGATTAAATGAGAAAAGTTGTGAAAGTATGTAGCATCATGTGTGCATCTATGATGATTAAATGAAAAACAGTTGCAAAAAGTTTGTAGCATCATGTGTGCTCCAAAACTTCCATCCATCCATTCTTCCATCCACCTATCATCCAATCATATATCTATCTGTTCACTGGCATGTCCATCCATCTACCTATTTGTCCATCCATCCATCCACCCACCTATTTGTACATCCATCCATCCACCCACTCATCCAAATATCACCTATTAACCTATAAGTCTATGCATCTATCTATTTACCAATCTATTCATTCATTCACCATCTACATACACATCCACTTAACCACCCATTCATTGATCTCCTCATTCACAAGAAAATCAGACAATTGGATACTTTCTTTCACAGATTCCCAGATCCCACAGCAGGAAGCAGCCTCTCTGAGAGGCAGTTCTGCCACCACAGTTTTCCTCACCATTGCTCAACCTCCTTCCCCCTCTTACTGCTTAGTGTTACTGGCTCAGCTCCAGGTTCTTCCACTCAAAGAGAGATAAGAATGGCAAGCACAAGAAGGCTTTACTGAGGGCTTACACTCAAGTGTACAATGGCTCATGGGGTACAGTCTCGTCTGCTCTCCCAGGAAGCCTCTATTGTCTGTCAAGTGTTTTGTGCAGATGGTTGTGGCTATTGCAGAAGGCAACAGCTGCACCAAAGTTTGATCGTGGCACGAGGACAGAGCACAGCACAGGAGTCTGTCTACTCTGTCTGCACTGGGGCTGACCTAAAGTACTTACTATTGGCACTTTGATGCTTAACCAGGAAAGTCAGGTAGCAGTCAAAGCCAGGCACGCTGAGCATGAGGCTGTAGGGAAATCCCTTCACAGGCTTTGGAGGAAGCAGGAGGCATCAATAGCGCCCTTATCATATGCAGCCTCAATAAGA